TATATGATGAGTTTTCAGCTGCATGCTCTTACCAGTATTGATGTCTGTGCTTTTACTTGAAGTATTGCCTTTTATGGCATCATATTTCTGTTTGGGTAAAGACCAATCAACAGCAACTTTCCTTCCTGTAAAATTTAAGTATGAAACAATAATGATTAATGAACATTTTAATTTAATAACAGGCTCAACATTAAGTAGAATGGCTTAGACTGGTGCCCCAATCTGCTTAGCCACTCTCCATCTCACCCAAAAAAGAACACCCCAGTGTGTGGGAGCTTAATTACTTAATCTTCATAATGCAGTATTGGACTAGAAATATTTTTAAAAATCAAAAAGAATTTCAACACCAAAGTTGAACTAATTCCACTTGCAGTGTCTGGGATGATGGGGAAGGGGAAATTAATCATGGAGGAACAGGGTATGATCTGCAAGTAAAGAAGATCGTCAAATAAAACTTCACACTATCAAGTTATGACAATACCTGTGATTTGTCAAAATTAGTATACTTATTACACAAAGCTCACTCCATACAGTATGTTTAGTGAGTTTGTACTTACCAAGTATTTCCTTGGCATTCATTTCTTTAACAGCCTTCTCTGCTGCTTTCACTTTAACAAACTGCACAAACCCAAACCCAATTATCCTATCATTATCTCCACTGCCTTTTCTAGGAATTGAAACTTCAGAGATTTCTCCGAACTTTTCGAACGCTTTACGAAGATCATTTTCGCGACACTAAAGCACATAAAATATAGAAATACATATTCATGATAACAAAACAACCAAAACCAATTTGTTAATAAACATCTTTACACATACCCTTTAATGCAGTTTATGGAAGGGGCTTGTGGAAGAGGATTTCTCACAAGACTGTTGAACATCAGAAAATAACATAAGTTGAAACTATCACATATTTTTTGATAGTATAGATATGGCCAATTATATGTGGCTTGTCTTAAAAGAGGGGACTGATTTAATATTGAGAATTGTGTACATAAATAACAATTACGAAAACTAATGTGATGATTATAATTATAGTAAAACAGTGATGACATATCATTACATTATGAAAATTCACAGCTCAAAGAATGGA